TTAGCTCAGGAGATTTATCGAAATCAGCTGTTTCTTCATATATATATATATATATATATACATTGAAAATAGATTTTGCGACTATCACTCGATCTCGAATAACAACCTTACTTGTTCTATGTCTGCTAAGTTGATTAGTTATTGTTATCGTATGAAAGTGCATGAGCTCGAGTGGGAAAGATGTAACAGCCGGTCCCACCAGAATACGATGGTAAATTCATATTTACCAGCTGATAGTCAGCTTTCGTTGCTAGGCTTTCGTCCGTCAGACGACGCACATCAACACAGCAGAGTGGCATTATTACAAGCTGATTCAAGCCAACAAGTCAGGCGAGCTGGTTGAAACCCAACATTTCTTTGTATATGGTGTGAGGATAAACTGTCAGAGTCGGTTGCTGCAGTTTGTCGAGGTGGAAGAGTCGTCTTCTAGTCAAATATTTTCGGGACTAGGTTCACTTTTATTGCAAGTTGCCAAGGTCTAAGAGCCCAGATACGAGAAGGGAACTGTCATCAATCATGTAGAAGCCGCGTGAGGATTAGGCCCGAACAGATCAGGTCATGGTCGACTTTTCAAAGTATTTTCCTTCCCTTTAGACTGATCTCCTTTAATGATCATCTGCCCGACGAAATTGATGAAATCCATTTGAGCCCACTTGGACAAGCTTTTAGGCTCCTTCAACGAGGCTTCGGAGAGTCACTTAACCTTGGCTGTCATGCAAGAAGCCAATTTTTCGGTAGCACCCCTTTACATAGAATGACGCTGACACAGTATTTGGGAGAGCATTTCTTTTAAGGTCCCAACTACTGCCCATCACTTAAAGTAGATGTGCCGAGGGGCGGCTAAACGGGCTAACAGCAAAAGTTCGACCTAGTTTTTATGACATTTATGGAGCCCGAGTTTAAATGCCAAGCATTTCTTGGGCATGACAGTTGTCTTGCAATGGGACAATCCAAAAAGCAACGATAATATCACGAAAACTTTTCACTCTGATGGTATCGATGGTCCCGACTCTGCTTAGACTTTCCACTTTGCCTAAGTCTCCTCAGACGAGTCTTTAACGGGTACCTTTTCGACTAAACCGCTTCGGTGGGCGTCGTGTGGCCCAGGGACTGCTGTAGCCGGTGGTGAATATGCATCATCCATCACTAATGCATTCTGGTGAAAAAGGCACAAATTCACCTGACAGGATACCATGACGATTGTCTTCTCGGTGCACAGCCTCTTGTGGGGCTTCATAGAGTATACGAAGCCTGTATTACAATTTTTGACAGAATATGAAGATCAAGATGTTGGGATCTCTATTTTAGTGGCAGTCTACTTTCGATGTAAAGAAGTAGTCTGACCTTGTTTTCACAAATTAATCACGTTGTCAGGATTACTCAGTTGGACGCGTCTTGTTCGAAGTCGTCTGCTCTAGTAGCGTCTGACCGTGGACTTGGTACAATCCCAGAAATTTCGCTGCCATCTTAGTCTGTATTGGCGTCAAGCTAAAATTCACAAAAGAGACAAGGATTTGATATTACTCCTCCTTCTGTCCTGGCCCATCTACTCTTGCTCTATCATAACTTCTGACTAGTTCATTTTATAGTCTTCAAAAGTGTGTCCTTTTGGACGAGTTTAGTGTGGCATCATCACAATTGCTGTTTGCTCTGCCCATCTTCTTCTCGATTTGTTGATCCGACTTGAGCCTCATGTCTGGATCTCGCTCAAGAGTCGTTAGATCCATTTCTTATCTTTCTTGTTGGCCGGTTTTACTCGGTTCCAGTCCCAGAGTACATCTTTCTCCAGGCTCTATATGTACAGGCATGTACATCGTAGCCACATCTGCAGAGCGCCTTGGCCAAGAATCCTATGCTTGTAGATATTAGGCATTGTCTCCACGGCTCATCTTCTTCATTCAACCCGTGTACCCTGAGCAAACTGTGAACGTCTAGCTTTTCAATTTGGCCATGATACCCCATTTATGTGCTGGATGTGATTGTTCGTCTTCCAAGTCCTGTGACGAACAGCAACAGAGCAAGGTATCATCCTAACAACCAAATTCAAGATTTTCTTGAATCGATAGCCTGAATTTGGTTGTTAGGATGATACTCTGCTCTGATGAAGTTCGTCATACGAAGGACCAAAGCTTAGCACGTTTTCACCGGAATCGAAAGAGATTACTAAGGAAACAGCGTTAACATGAATATTCAATAAAAGCTAATCGTCGCCTTCTGATGGAATCGAACTTCGAATCTCTTCACCAACACTCTCACTCGAAATGGAGGCAAGCTCAACAAGTAAAAAGGATATGTCTGGATCAAGGATCTATCGTTAACCAAAGGGAACGGAATCGTAAAGAAGAAGAAGTGGGTGAGGAAGCTTGGAAAATAAAGCGAAGACTGTCTCGGTGAATGAAGTCTGCTCGAAGAAAGAACTGAATTTTTGGGGGCCTTGCGAGCATAGGACTGGGAAGACGGACAATGACAACCATCCCTTTCATCGGAAATGGAAGTAGGCTTCAACAATTATGAAACAAGAGATTCCTCGAAACCCAAGTTTTCTTCGCATATCCTTTTTAGTTGTCTTATAGTATCCTTGTTTTATCCGAGTTTGCTTAAGCGATAGACAAAGTTATCGCTAACTCTGCCTTCTTCCGGTCTCCTGTTCACTACATTTATTCCTTCAAGCAGGACATAATTTGAATCCCTAATCTTTCGTTTACTTGTGTTCTCATCTTATGAGGCGCTTCTTAATTCGACTTCCAGATGATCTCGTACACGGTCTGTACGATAAGCCTAGCTATTTCTGATCTTTCGGTATCCATTTTCCAGGTTCAATCAAGGAGCTGACCCGTGAAGGCAGCAAGCATGGGAATCAGAGTCTATGTGCTCTGCAGATGAGGCAACTGTGCATGTGCTACTGATGGTTCTGTAGCCGAGTAAACTCGGTTAACCGGAAAGTTAAGAAACGGATCTACATGCCCATGAAGGGTATCCCGACAGAAGACCCAATTCGGATCAGCAATTCGAGGAGTTGGGTGGTGAAAGGCAAACAGCAAGTGTGATGATGTCACAACAAACTTGCTCAAAAGAGGAAATGTGATGAGAGGATATGGAGTAGTTGGATGGGTCAGGATAGAAAAAAAGGTATCACAAGTATTTCGGCAGAAAGTTGATCAAGTGATTGGCTTCATTATTATCTGACGAGTTGTAGCTTAGCGCTGAAAATGGCAAGACTGACTAACTTATTTTTCTTTTATAAGTAGGATCTTAAGATATGATATAGAAAAATGCTTAGCCTTCCTTGAAACTCGCTTTTGTCATGTGACCCAAAATCACATGTTGCAGTATAGCATCGAGATTAGACGCGAAACTGTTATGATTTGAGTCCCACTATGGTTGTGATAAGACCTGGGGGAGGTCGAAACGGAAGTCCACTTCTGTCTGAATGAGAACACCTTTTGGGAAAGCAAGGCTATAAGAAATTAAATAGAAGCTTCAGCTCTGCTCATGTCATTGTGTGAAAATTCAACTACCAGTCCCTCATCACCTGAAACGAAATAGACTGAATACATCCCATATGACTCTACGACGATGCCCGAGAAACATCTGGGAATGTACCAAGTCCACTATCCGACGCTGGGAATCATGATAACTACTGTAGCAGAGGAGTTCGGACACGGCCCATCCAACTAAGTCCTCCTGACGATACGAAAAAGTTGCAAAAACGAGTTCAGACCACTTCTTAACAGAAGTTTTTCTAATTATTCTTATTTGATATGAAAATTATTTATTACATTTTAGACTTTTCGGCCATTCTGCTGACAACCCCAGCAATAATTAATGGGGTATGTAGTCTATCGAAAATGTTTTGCAGCTTCTAAAAAAAACTAAAAGTGTCGAAACTACTATTTAAATAATTATTTCAATCGGCTAACTTAAATAGCTAGACCAGGCGATTGTGTATTTCACACAAATACGAAATAAGTATGCATTGAGCAACATAATTTGGTACCTCTACAGGCCAGAAAAGAGCGAAATTCACATGGAATTTCGGCACATGTGCAAAGATCATGCATGTAAACACCTGATATTCATAATTAATTATGCCTAAAGGCAGAAGGCTTGCCTCGTTGCTATCCACATAAAAATGCCGAAAAATACTACTAGATGTTGAATATTGGCAACCTTGGGGAGTATATTGTGCATAAGCTTATAGTGGTATCAAGCTACTTGATAAAAACACTATCATCAGCCACATGGACTGATGTCGTTACGAATTGACAGGACAGCTTTATTTTACACTGAGATTTATTGCCGCACACCTGCCGAACATGCCCAGCTCCTCCAGCGAGGTTAAAATGCTGGATAAGAGGGTTTAACAGACAAACAGGCCAGCTCCATTGATGCAAGTGAATTTGTCAAAACTTACATATTTTGGCGAGCATTGGTTCGCTTTTATACTCAACCCTACAGAGAAGGCGTAAGTAAATTTCAATGCAAAACCAAGTTTTATCTTCCCGTCATCGGGGATGGAAGAACTATCGACAAATAATCTATCTTGACAATAATCAGATTTCGGATAGTCAGGATCAAATCATCAATGGCAGCACATTCTTTGAACACGGTCTCCCTAAAGTGCTTGTTGGTCGAGAGAAGGGTTAGGCCTACCGAAACTGAGTCGAACTTGGTTCTATGGACTACTTGATAATGTATTAAGATTTTAGCTTCTGGACGCCATTATATGCAAGTATTACATGCCTAATCAGTAGTGAATATTCATGGAT